AGAGAGAGAGAGAGAGAGATTGGAGAGAGAAGAGAGAGAAAGTAGAAAGAAAACACCACAGACCACAGTAAGATTAGAAGAAAAGCTGTCCCCAGTTAAGACTACTTAGTCCAGAAAGCTACTTGATGTATGGAAAGAGCTGGGACAAGCAGCCAGTCATATGGCATTGGTTCCTAGACGCCATATTATTTTACCAGCAGAACCTATATAAAGAAGACACCGCAAGCTGCTGAACTCCCTATTTTGAAGACCAGTCTCAGGGTACAAAGTGATAATACAAAGCTAATTTGGCTTTGTGGTTTTTGGTGAAGGTAATTAACCAATACGAGGCAGGTGTGGAAGTTCATGTCTATGCACATCTTATGAGATTTGGGAATGAGTTGTCATGGGATCAAAAATAAATCACGGTTGGGTGTGATGGTACATAGCTACCACCCCAGTTACTTGGGAGGCTAAGACAGGATGATATGAGGTCAAGGCCTGTCTGGGCAACAAAGGGAGAACCCAAAACCAAAACTGAAAGCAAAACTGGCAAATTACGGCTGGGAATACAGCTCTGACACATCTGCCCTGGCATATGCACCACCTTGCATACTAAACACATTACCGCCCTTTCTTGCTCTCTGAGTTAAGATTTGTTCTACTTACACATTTCAGAGATGTTTAAGGAAAACATTTTCCCTGAGTTTCCCTATCTCTAACCATCAAGCTTTAAACTTTTTTTTTAATTTTATGCATATTACAGGTATTTTGCCTGCATATATGTCTATGTACCTCATGTGTTCCTGGTGCCTGTGGAGGCCAGAAAAGGACATCAGATGCCCTGAGACTAGAGTTATAGGTGGTTGTGAGGCACCATGTGGGTGCTGGGAATCAAACCCAGGTCTTCTAGAAGAGCATCCAGTGCTTTTAACCACTAAGACATCTCTTCAGCCCCTAACTTTCAGGTTTTTAATGGATGTACCTAGAAGTAGTGCTATCTCTAATCAATAAGTTTTTCCGTTCATAACTTAGTTCTCATCACAGTAGTTAAACCAAGATAAAATCAAATACTGCTAAACAGTAGGTAAGAAATTTCTAAGTGATGATCTTACTTTTTGCCTTTTCTCTCTGTCCCCATTACCTACAGCCTAATTCTCACAATTACCCTGATTCTGCAGTTCATCCAAGTCCATGTATCTGCTGGGATGAGGGTTAAACCCTTTAGCAGCCTCTAATTCCTTCTCCCGTTTCTTTCGAAGTTCCTGTTCCTGGGCCCGCCTGGCCACTTCTTCCTGTAGTTCATCCAGCTCACTTTTAGAGGTGATCTCCCCACCTGAGATACAAGCCAAGATGAGAAATTACAACAGTTCCAGAATCAAGTTGAATTATTGGTTAACTTTATGGTTACCATACCATTATTCCTGTGGAACGCTTGCTTTCCAGTTCATGCTTTGGACAGTGCTTTCCCTATCAGATTCAGAGCCATGCATGAGCCATGAATAACGATGATGTTAACAACAACATATATATTTTCAATATTTCATTAACTGTAACAGTATAACTCCTAACATTTCTTAAGCATTTTCAATATACTAAAAAACAGTTTAAAAGCATTTTGACATATATTATTTCATTTAATTCTCTCAAGTGATAAGGTAGACACCCAGGTTATTTTAGAAAAAAGGAAAACTGAGACACAGAGGGGCAGCACAGACAGCAGATGGGAGAGCTGACTTCAAGTCACGTAGGTTCAATTCAGCTGGAGCTACTGGTGCTGGCCCATGATCCCAGCTACTCCAGAGGGTGATGGAGATGATCCCAGCTACTCCAGAGGGTGATGGAGAAGGATAACAAGTCCAAGGCCTACTTAGCTTATAGAATAAGTTCAAAGCCAGCTTAGACAACTTAGTGAGACCCTGTCTCAAAAAGTATCTGGTCATGGTACTAATACCTGTAATACCAGCACTTGGGACGCTGAAACAGAGGAACTACCATGAGTTCAAGGCCAGCCTGAGTTATATAGTAAGTTTCAAGTCAGTATAGACTAGAGACAGAGAACCTATCTCAGAGAACAAAACCACAGCAAGAAGCTGGGTTATAGCTCAGTGGCAAAGCACGTGCCTAACATGTATGACCACCAAACTCCAAGGTTCAATTCCTGGTTTAAAAAAATTAAAAAAGTTATTTTTCCCCTCTTTAATTTCTTAATTAATTAAAAGTTTAATTTTTTTAAACTTTTCTTTTTTTTTCCCCCAAGATAGGGTTTCTCTGCATAGCTTTGAGCCTGTCCTGGAACTCGCTTTGTAGACCAGGATGGCCTTGAACTCACAGAGATCCGCCTGCCTCTGCCTCCTGAGTGCTGGGATTAAAGGTGTGTGCCACCACCGCCACCTGGTAATTTCCACCATTTTTAAAAAATTGGTTTGTAAATTATCCACAGTGAAAACTCATCTTTAAAGAGTTCATTGATGAGTCTAAATAGATTGGGAATGATATCCATGATAAATCAAGTAAAACTGTGGGAGATAGAATAGTATGTATAGTATGTCTCCATTTTTAATAGTAAGACCTATATGTATGTACATAAACATCTAGACTTTTTTTGAGTCAGTGTATTTAATATCACTTGCATGTATTGCATACCAGAGGGAGCAACCATGACTCAGCAAATTTCCCCGTTCACTTTACATGTCAACCACAGGTGCCCCTCTCCTCCCACTCCATAGTCTTCCCCCTCAACCCACCCCCTCATTCCCACCTCCTGCAAGGCAAGGACTCCCATGGGGAGTCAGCAGAGCCTGGTACATTCAGTTGAGACAGGTCCACGCCCCTCCCCCTGCACCAAGGATGTGTAAGGCGTCCCACCATAGGCACTGGGCTCCAAAAAGCCAGCTCATGCACCAGGGATTGATCCTGATCCCACACATCTAGACATTTATATAAGCATATATACCAGTGTTAGCACTGGTTCCTTCAGTTTTAGAAGGTAAAAAGCAGGTTATTGAATTGTTGGACCCAATTTACTTCTATAGTTAGGTTTATTTTGTTTTTTGGTTGGGTGTGTGTATATGTGTGTGGTGTACCTGTGTGTCTGTACACTTCGTCACATGTGGATGCATGTGTATATGTGAGTGAAAAAATGTTGTCATCACTTTGTTAAATGTCTTTTGCCTGTTAAGAAAGAAGATTATATTCGATCCAATTTGTCCAGAACTGAGGACTGACAGGGAAAACCGTAAGACTCAGTTTTTACTATACTGAAAAGGTACCATCTATCTGAAGAGACTAGAAGGGATAGTAGGTTCATCCACATTCACAAGTTTCTTAAAGTAATGTTACTCGACATGAAATAAGTTAAACCATGAAGGATCAGCACAGTATGTAATTTCAGGAGGAAGCAGGCATGGCTTCTGCCTTTAACATACCCAGGATTCCAAGTGCACCTTTCTCTATATATCCCTCTGCCTGGCAAGTGTCAGCACCAATACCTAAGCACATCTTCTTCCTGTTCCTGCACACTCCTTTCCACAGCTCTAAGAACCAATGAGCAACTGTCAATCAACTGGTAGGTATGAGACTATGATACAGAGGCAAGGGAGGGGTCAACACGAATTGCTCATTTCATAGTTTTGCCCACGTTTATGTTGTATCTCAGTTTATAACAACATCAATCACTACGAAATTCATTTCTTTTTTTTTTTTTAAGATTTATTTATTTATTATGTACACAGTGTTCTGTCTGCATGCATGCCTGCAGGCCAGCAGAGGGTGCCAAGTCTCATTACAGATGTTTTTAAGCCACCATGTGGTTGCTGGGAATTGAACTCAGGACCTCTGGAAGAACAGCTAGTGCTCTTAACCACTGAGCCATCTCTCCAGCCCTGGAATTCATTTCTCAAGATCTTGCCTAGACCAAGGAGAGCCCTAGGACTTACTCTTCTAAGGAATGGAACTATTTTTTAACATCATGCATCATATTTCTGTCCCTCCTCATTTCATAAAACTCTTTGCAATGTTAAAACATTCAGGCAAGCTGTGGGAAACAAAAACTGGAGAAACTGAGGAAAAGCAACTGAAAAGTCTTCCATTAAACTTGGGGGTGGGTATGTTTAGATGGGTGTGTATATTCATTAGTATGTGTGGGTACCTGTGTGGGTGCATATGTATGCCAGAGGTCAAACTTGAGTGCTATCCTCAGCAGCCATCCACTCTGCGTCTTGAGACATGATCTCTCAGTAAGGCCTGGGACTTGCTGATTCAGCTTGGCTGGCTGGCTGGCCAGTGAGCAATATGAATATGCCTCCCCAGCATGTTGGGAACTGAACTCAGGTCTTCATGGTGCATAACAAGCACTTAGCTACCAAGCTAGGTCTCCAGCACACACTTTTACATTTTGATGGAATTCTCAAACAACAATTGTCTTTTAGTGGAAGTATGCTCAACAAAGCTGTTTCCCAAATAGAACTGGTGGTCTGATCCAGTATCTTCCTGTTTACCTGAGAGAGGATGAGTCTTTGTCCAGCCAGTCATGGATGCTGTGGAGTCTACCTCCAGGATGCTACTGCTGTGGGACTTTGGGATATGACGCCAAGAAGGGACAAACCCTGGTCTCTTTGTGCTTTGATCCCTTTAAAAGAGAATCCATAGTAGTAAAAGTTTCGAAGGGTGGCTTCTAACAACATTCCTAAGACTAAAATTTCAGAACAGAAAGCAAACATCATAAAAGCTTGGGAACCAAGGTCAGGAGACAAAACCACGATGCAGCAGCTCCAGAGGCTGAGGCAGGAGGATAGAATAAGTATAGAATTCCAGGGTTAGGAAACAAGAATAGAACAAGAATTCATCTCAGATTGAAAAAAGAAAAAGAAAAAACAGCTTTTTGTAATGTACATTATATTGGTAAATTCTCTATTTATGCTTTTTAAAAGCCTCTGGGGTGGGCATGCCTTTAATCTCAGCACCCAGGAGGCAAAAGCAGGTGGATCTGTGAGTTCTAGGCCAGCCTGGTCTATAAAGTAAGTTCCAGGCTAGCCAGGACTACACAGTGAGACCCTGTGTACAAACAAAACAAAATAGCAAACAAAGAGAAAAGGGGGGGGGGGTGGACTCTGAGAGTAAGGAGGCTGTACCTGTCTCCCTGAAAGGTCCTGTCCTGTTTTCCTTTCTGTTTGCTGTTTCCTCAGCAAGCTGCTAAGAGTGTTAAATAACATTGTGTCCAGGAGACTGGAGAGACGGCTCAGCGGTTAAGAGCATGGGATGCTCTTCCAGGACTTAGGTTCAATTCCCAGCACCCACATGGGAGCTCACAACTGACTGTAACTTCAGTTCCTGGGGATTTGACACCCTCACACAGACACATGTGCAGGCAAAACACCAATGCACATAAAATATAAATAAATAAATAAATAAATAAATAAATAAATAAATAAATAAATAAATAAATAAATAAATAAAGTTGTCTTAAGTAGGATTATAATGTCTTTTTGTTTTTTCAAGACAGGGTTTCTCTGTGTAGCTTTAGAGCCTGTCTAGATCTCGCTCTGTAGACCAGGTTGGACTCGAACTCACTCACAGAGATCCGCCTGACTCTTCCTCTGAGTGCTGGGATTAAAGGCGTGTGCCACTGCTGCCCAACTGTATTATAATATCTTTAAAAGATAAATAATTTTTTTAAAAAATTGTGTCCTTGGACTGGTAAGATGGCTCAGCAGGTAAAGGTGCTTGCTACCTGGCCTGATGACCTGAGATCAAACCAAGGAAGCCCTACGGTGGGAGAGAAGTGACTTCTACAACTGTCCTCGAACCCATTCACATAGGAAATGGAATTAGAAGGTCACCCATGGAAAGAACAGAAGAAGACTGCGCACCAGGATTCTCAGTGGGATGCTGCAGCCAGCTGCCTCAGCTTCTCTAGCCAGTTTCTGCTAAATGACTGTATGCCCCAAATTTGATTGTGTTGGCTATGTGCTATCATTTGCTCTTTTACATGAAGCCTCAGCCAAAGGGACACTCAGCACTGTTCAGGATTCTCTCAATCAGGAACTCCAATAGGCTGCCCCAAGGGGCCTTCCCTAGTCAATATCTGATGAATGCTTCTGAGCCCCAAACTAATGATGTTACCTTGTGCTTGCATTCTCAATGGGGCTACTCTAGTCTTCTCTGAATGCTTTAGTACATCAGATTTTATGATGTCTCATTGCCTCTTTGCTGCCCACTCTTCATCCTTTTGTCTTTCGCTTGCTTACTTCATAAACTCACTCACTCCACTAGACTGCTTGGGAAACAGACACCTGTGTTCTTCTCTAGTTCCCTTCACAAGTTGTGCACCTAATAGTATATGGCTGCTGGGTGGTGGTGACGCACACCTTTAATCCCAGCATTCAGGAGGCAGAGGTGGGTGGGTGGATCTCTGAGTTCAAGTCCAGCCTGGTCTACAAAGTAAGTTCCAAGACATCCAGGGCTGCACAGCGAAACCCTGTCTCAAAAAAAACAAAACAAACAAAATAAAACAGAACAAAAGTATTGAGCAGACACCCAAATTCTATTACATGAATTAATGAACATATTCTCATATTATTTTCCTCTTTCTTACTAATATCTTTTGGAGGACAAAACTGAGAAACTTACCATGCTGGGCAAGTACTCTACCCATTGAGTGAAATTCAAGCCCAACATACTAAACCTTTATAGCATTTTCTCATGCATAAAACTGAACAGGGTCTGGTAGGCAGGCAAGAACAGTGAAGAATAAGGATATGGCAAAACTCTTTCAAAACAGCTAGAAGGTTAAAAATACTGCTTCTGGTTGTGGGGAAGGGGGATGGGTGGTGCGTGCCTTTAATTCCAGCAGAGGCAGGTGAATTCCTGTGAGCTCCACAAATCAAAGCCAGCCTGGTCTATGGTGATATTTTATTTGTACTGAAATGTGATTTTAATTCTATGTTAATAAATAAAGTTGCCCTGTGGTCAGAGCTATTAGAGCCATAGCAAGAGCGTGGTGGTTAGAAGAGCTAGGTAGATTTCTGTGTGTTCAGGGATACAGCCAGTATTGGAGACATACGCCTTTAAGACCTGGAGGACAGTATTTACAGGCAGTGACTGATGAGGCAGTCAAGTGGTTGGGTTTATAACCAATGAGAAGGCAGAACAGAAAGACTATTTAAAGACAGACAAACAGGAAGAAGCTCTCTCTCGGGGAAGCTAGGAGCACTGCAGGAGGTAAGATTTTAGCTCTGAGCTCTGACCTCTCGGCTTTCTCTTTTACATTGGCTCTGTGTTTCTTATTTTAATAAGACGATTGGTTACATCTACACTGGTCTATAGAGCAAGTTCCAGGACAGCCAGAGTTACACAGAGAAACCCTGTCTTGAAAAAACAAAATAAATAAAATAAAGTAATAATAATATTGCTTCCACAGCAACTATAAAAACAATGTATAGAGAGCAAAATGAGGCCTTCAAGCAGGGTATAATGATCTATATTAAACTGTCATTATTATGTTATGGGATTATGATTATCAATGGTTTCATAATTGGGACCCCAGTAACTCAAAAACCAAGAAAGAAAATAAGAATAAATTACAGGTTGGATTTCTTCTCTGATTTTAAAATCAATGTTTTGATTCACTAATGCATCTTTTGTTGAAAAACATTTACTAAACAATTATTTTTTAATGTGTATGTATGTGCATACATGTGTGGGGGTGCCTATAGAAGACAGAGTAGTATAGGTCAGAGCCCCTAAAGCTACAGTTACCTGACATGGGTGCTGAGATCCAAATTTAGGTCCTTTACAAAAGCAACAGTACTTTTAATTGCTAAGTGATCTCTCTAGACCCCTAAACAATTTTTCAAATAAAAATGTAGGATTGTAAATATTCACAATGTGTGTGGTGAGGCACTCCTGTGATCTCAGCACTCTGGAAATGGGGCAAAAGAATCAGCTTAAGTTTAAGGTCAATCTGGGCTACAAAATGAATTCAAGACCAGCCTGTACTACATACAATATTCTATTCAAGAGACAACACAATGCTTGTGGCACAATGGGTTAATACTCAGGCTGCCAGGAGTAAAGCAGAAATCAGCACCCATTACCTCACAGGGGCAAAAGCAGCTCAAATCCCATTCATTATGAATGCCACAAACGGTACAATTTTAAAAGCCTGCATTTGTAGCCTGCATTTGGGCAGTGGTGGCGCACGCCTTTAATCTCAGCACTCGGGAGGCAAAGCCAGGTGGATCTCTGTGAGTGCGAGGCTAGCCTGGTCTACAGAGCGAGATCCAGGACAGCCATGAAAACAACACAGAGAGACCCTGTCTCGAAAAGCAAACAAATAAACAAAAAACAAACTTATATTCAGGTTGTACATTAGATCTCTAGAGTTGCTCATTCTACATGCCTGACAAATGAACATTTTACAAGTTGGCAGCATTATCCTTGTTAGCATTCTCTGTAGTCTTACAACTTTATTATAGTTGCTTTAAGTACGTACTAAACAAATATTACTGAATAGCTAATGCTTCAAATGAAAAGCCACTGCCTTTACTCCTCCTCCCAACAGAGGGTGCTGCTGCTATAGAAAAGCAGGTAGAGAATATGGTCAGTGCTAAAACCTCTCTCTTCACTCGCCTAATTCATAGCTGAAAGCTCCGAGTAGGTAGCTCACATTGTGCAAAGAACTGGGGCTATTAAAAGACCAGACAATACCTGTAGACATTCAAGCTCTCAGGAGGGGCTGCATCCAAGCTGACAGGGCTGCTGCTGTTCCTCTCACTGCTCTCATAGCCAGACTCCATCCGCTGGATTAGGCGTGGATGCTGCTCTAAAAGATGAGAGCCTGGCCGGGCTGCACTCCAGGGTTTATGCTGGGAGCTTGGTCCACCAGCTTGAATGTCATAAGCAGGTGGCTTGCTTATTTCATCTGGCGTAAATTCTTTAGCTAGTCAGATATAGAGGAGGTAGATTTAGCATTTGTCTAAATGAAAATCTAACTAAACCTCCACTCTAAAAATTATCCACTAAAGTCATATCTTCAAAAAACATGACATCAGAGTAAAGATGTTCCTTGCCAGCTATACCAGAAAACTCAGGATTTTTTTTTTTTAATTCATTATCTATACTGTATTCTGTCTGCAAGCCAGAAGAGGGCACCAGATCTCATTACAGATGGTTGTGAGCCACCATGTGGTTGCTGGGAATTGAACTCAGGACCTCTGGAAGAGCAGTCAGTGCTCTTAACCTCTGAGCCATCGCTCCAGCCCAGGATTTTTAAATACATAAATCAATTGTATTTGAAAGCCCATTTGTTCCCTTATTCTCTGCTCACCTGAATCTTCAGAAAAGGTTCTAAGTTGGGTGTAGCCACAATGCTTCCTTTTGTCCTTACTAAAAATGCTGTCAATATTCAAAGACTCTCGTTTGGGTCTCCATGTTGGGCGATACTTGCTGGAAGAACTGGATTTTGCCTCACTACTGGTACTCTCAGTTTCCCAGTCCCGAGAGTGTAAAGGCAAGTTCCTTGGTGGTGTCTTGTCTGGCTGGTCTCCTGCCCTGCCCGCACAGGGAGATCCTACATTGGTCTGAGAAGCCAAGGAAGGCCTGCTATGGATCATATTGCTGACTGTCTCTTTGAAATCCTTCAGCCTGCTTGTGCTGCTAGACTTGGAGGCGCTCCTAGGAGCCTGCTTCTCTTTCAGTGTTTCTCCTAAAAATCAGAGAAGGAAAGAAAAACAGTGTTTAAGATAATCACAAATGCCCTCCCCCTAAAGCTAAGAAAGTAAGGACAAGCCTTTTGGGAAACAGACAAAAGTTTAACAAAGGAAATAGGAGTGCAGATGGCTTGCCTTCACTGTGGTACCCGGAGGCCTGTGGCTCATCGCCTTTCCTCCTACCACGGCCAGAACTCCTCTTGCGCTCTACCAAAGACCCTTTCTTCGATGTGTGCTTCTGATTACATTCACTATCAGTCAAGTGCCCTGAAAGAACAAGGAAATGGGGTAAGCTTCTTTCTGCAACTGACCTCTACCCTCTTGAGTCTCCTTTTGGGATTTGTAATAGTGCCACAAATTTATTATACACATGGAGCAGACACTGTAAGGGTCAGAACTATCTGATGCAAGTGTAAGACTGTCTCAGTAGGTAAGTGTAGAAAAGCTCAGGTAGTCAATGGTGCCTTCCAAATCTATAACATATCCTGAACACACTCATCATCGTTCCCAGGGGTCCAGAGGAACTAACGATGCTGATTAACAACCTCTGTCAGCTCTTCAGTGCTGAGGAAGCAAACTTTGACAAGACTAAGTAGGAATGAGCCATCAGCTCACGGTAATTTTTCAAAGGAAAAAAAAATATTATCTAAAAATGTCATGAACTCCTATTTTTTTTTGTTCTTTCTCCCACCCTCTTTTTTTTCCCTCTATGTAACCCTGTCTGTCCTAGAACTCATTTTGTAAACCAGGCTGGCCTCGAACTCAATGTAGATCAACCTGCCTCTGCCTCTCAAGTGCTGGACTAATGGTGTCTGCCACCACACCCAGCACTTTCTTCCTTTTTTAAATCTGAAGCAAATGGGTTTTATTTTGTTTAATTAAGGTAGAATCTTGTTGGAGTATTGCTTTTATTTTATACAGTCCAAACTGGCCTTAATTCACAGTAAGTCTCCTGCCTCTTGAATACTGGGATTACAGGCATGTATCACACCTACCTCCCACTCTCATAAACTGAAGACAGAATTTGCTTTTATGTATTTGGCAACAGCTCTCATTATGTATGGCTTTAGGACGCAGTTCTAAATCCTCTGTAAATGTGAATTTTAGAAGGCATTTCGATTTTGATTGATTCTCATTCTCATCTCCAATCTATGTTTTACCAAATCTGGCTTCACTCAGACATTCATAATTCTTTATCAGTAATCATTGAGAAACCCCAAGGGAAATCAGTATTTTATGTAACTTTCCTAGTATCAAGCCCATAATATGCAAATGAGCATGATTTAAATTATACAGAAAGGTCATATTCTAAAGGATATAATCAGCTAAGCAGCTGGAACCCAGAACGTGAATTAAGTTTGATGACAGGCTAAGAGAAACCACCCAGATTCTCAAATGCATGGGAGCTAACAAATTCTTTATGACATACTAGTATACAAAGAGCCTTGGAAGCATTCAGGTTACCAGTAACGCGATGTGATGGATACTATTCTCAACCAATTGCCTCATGCAATTTTTTACTGCTTTTATCCATCTATTTGTTTATTTGGGCCCATGAGAAAGACTTACAAAAAGAGAAAATCACCTATAGCAACTAAATGATACCAAGGTTAAAACTCCTACTGACCTAAACTTAACATGTACATCACTCCCTCACAGGAATGGCTTCTTTCTGACTCACAATTCCAGAAAGATGGCCTTTAAAAAACAATTGCATCTAACACCATCTAGAAAATAGTCTTCATGAGAAACCTAATGAGTCTGACCAAACTTCTAGGTCCAACTACCAATGTATAAGAAAGAGGAAGGGGGCGGTGGTGGCGCACACCTTTAATCCCAGCACTAGGGAGGCAGAGGCAGGCGGATCTCTGTGAGTTCCAAGCCAGCCAGGACTACAAAGAGAAACCCTGTCTTGAAAAACCAAAAATGAGAGAGAGAGGAGAGATAGATAGATAGATAGATAGATAGATAGATAGATAGATAGATAGATAGATAGATAGATAGATAATAGGTAAGTAGGCAGGCAGGCAGCAGACACTGGTGGCACATGCCTTTAATCCCAGCAATTAGGAAGCAGAGACAGGCAGATCTCTGAGTTTGGGGCCAGTCTGGTCTACAGAGTGAGATCCAGGACAGCCAGGGCTACACAGAGAAACCCTGTCTCAAAAAACCAAACAAACAAACAAAATGCAGGCAAAACACTCAAACACATAAAGATAATAAAATAAATCTAAAAAAAAGTAAGAAATAACCTAAAAGACCCATCGCAATGTTGGGAATCTCATTCTGATTTGGAGGAAACACACAAAGCCGTAAAGACGGCACTCCCAACAGCGGAGCCCTCAGTGCTCAGCAGCAGCAGGCAGAATTCCTTTTCTTTCTCTTTGGTTTCCATGCAGGACTCAAACACAGAGCCTTTCGCACGTTAAACACACACTGTTCAGTGAATACATTCCCTGCCTTTATTACTATTTTTAAGTATGCTTGCAAATGATTCATGTTATTTTAATAGATACTAAAGTATCTATGGAATAAGTAATATAATGTCTTGAATTTGCTTCAAAATAATTGAGGAATAGGGACATCAGTAAAATTACAATGGTCTTGGGTCACAGTTACTGAAACTTGGTGATAAGTACATGAGGGTGGGAAGTACTCTCTGTTGTATATTTAGAACTGTTTGAAATTCTCTATTCTTATCAAAGGTGCAGCAGGAGAAATGGCCAGTGTTTAACAGCACTGACTGATCTTCCAGAGGACTTGGGTTCAATTCCTAGTACCCATATGGCAGCTCACAACTGTCTGTAACTCCACTTCCAGGGGATCCAAGGACCTCTGTGGGCACCAGGCATATACATGGTACACAGATATCTATGCATGAAAAACACCCATATAAAAAATAAAAATTTTTCAAAAGGAAAAAAATTTTGGGGGGGTTTTGCGACAGGGTTTCTCTTGTAGCTTTGGAGCCTTTCCTGAAACTCACTCTGTGGCCCAGGCTGGCCTCGAACTCACAGAGATCCACCTGGCTCTGCCTCCCAAGTGCTGGGATTAAAGGCGAGCCTGGTGAAAATTTTTTGTAAAAAGGAAAAGACTAAAGAACTGATCTGAATCCATGCCAAAGTCCTTAGGCATTTAGACAGTGTTTCATGCCTTAGCTCTTCTATTTCCTGTAACTTTCCATCTCAGCAGTCATTCTCCATGCTTCCCTCTGTGCCCTGTAATGGCATCTTCCACTGATACAATCACAGACTTAAAAACAATTCAAGGATTCTTCTGTATGGAATGTACAATAATAAGCAGGCCATCCTTTATTTGCATGTCTGTCCTTCAGAAACCTAGGACGAGGATGATGAACAGGTATTCCCCACCCATAAATACTCCCTCTTTTGAAGACTTTCACTCAAAACCATGGCATGAAACACGACCAGGTAGAAGACAAGGCAAAAGGGATTTAAGGGATCAAAAGGACATTAGGACAAAGGTAAACGTAAGAAAAATTACATTGATAATCATATTACATGGTCCGTACTGATGTACTGCTATATGCAATGGAGCATCGTTGTTCATTCAAAAGTATCTTATTTCTTTGTATTCTACTAAATTACCCAAATTCTGCACTTTTCTGCCTTGCATATTACTTACTACTTGCCCCAGTTTCTTTTTCCTAGGAGACTTTCTATGCAGGAATTGAATCAGGCAAGCAGGATCCTATGTTAAGTCCCTACCTGTGTCCCGACTGCTCTGAGACATGGAATCATTCTCCACATTATAGATGACTGTCCCCTGAGAATCAGAAGAGAAGTGACTGACCACAGACTCATGGTGAGAATGTCTGTAGGGATAGCTCTCCGTTGAGGAATCTGTTCGAGTGTCACTTGAGATGGAAGGCTCCCTTCCTGAAGGAAGGAGGAGACACAGAGGAAAAGGTAAGGAAAGAGAGAACAGTGACAGAGGTGAGGAAGGAGATGGATGCAACAAAGACCCATAAGGCAAGAACTTCCTCCAAGGAGGGGTGAGAAGAAGACACCACAGAGCCATTCTTCCCAACACCCATCTTCCAGGTAATCCAGACACACACACAATTCCTCCCACCCCGTCCCTACCTTGCTGAAGCCCTCACTTTGCCTGCCACTGTGAAAAACTGTGGGGTTTTTAGAAAACCTATGGGGGAAAGTGAAGAAATGAAAAAGTTGTGAGACGTAAGATCTATATAGATGGAAAGCCCCAGGCCAACCTGTCACACCTGCCAGCTGTTCACCTGTCTTAGAGGCTCTCTCCTATACTGTCACACCTGCCAGCTGTTCACCTGTCTGTCTTAGAGGCTCTCTCCTATACAGTCACACCTGCCAGCTGTTCACCTGTCTTAGAGGCTCTCTCCTATACTGTCACACCTGCCAGCTGTTCACCTGTCTTAGAGGCTCTCTCCTATACTGTCACACCTGCCAGCTGTTCACCTGTCTTAGAAGTTCTCTCCTATACAGTCACACCTGCCAGCTGTTCACCTGTCTTAGAGGCTCTCTCCTACAGTCACACCTGCCAGCTGTTCACCTGTCTTAGAG